AGTCAGCCTTAACTCAAGACTTTAATGTGTTCACGTGGGGGGGGGGGTATGATCATAATGACATACTAAAAGTTTATTGCGAATACATGCCCGAGGGCTATTAAATTGCAATTACAGTACAACATTCATGAAAAGAGAATACAGTGATATGAGGGACGTCTAACGGGCAGACAGTACTATTAGATCTTGCCATAGGAACACATGCTTAAATACACTATTTCAACACCTCATGAAAGTACTTGCCCATACTCCAATCTCAAAAAATTTTCTGCACCAGGTAGCAACAAGGGTCTGATTCCCAAAAATAGAAAGGAAACAGGGGGTTGACCATCTCAAATTCCCGCCACAGCTGATGATAGTAAAAAAACCTCAACTTTGACCTACATTTTCCATGCTATCCATCCGCCTGGCCAGACAAGACCTAACCACTCACATCTCTCATTACACCCACTAAACTGGTGAAATAAACAAAACTTGACCAATGTAGGAACGTTTAGACCCTACCTGTGCCTTCCAGCCCAAAAATCTCCAAAATGGACCAAAAATTTCAAGAGAAAAAAAGGTTTTCAAAGGTATTAACTAGGCACTACAATCAGGCCTCTACTGCGCAACGCAAATGTGGTGTCTGCCCTAACGTTATGCTACACTCATTTTCATACATACATGGTGCTAGTTTTGGATTTGACTGTTCAGTATTTTTGGCAATGGAAGACGAATTTGACCACTTTCTCTATAGCTTCTATGATACCTTATCTAGTCACTATATGCGTAATAACTAGGTAAGACAGCATGTATCGTGTTGTAAGAAACAGTTCATCACTGAGGGGGGGGGGGCGTGGCAAGGAACCTTTTATTTTGGCCAAAATCCATAGGTGGTATCGTAGCTTCGCAAACCTTTCACACTACCATTTGTATAAGGCTGCGGGACTTTTGTTTACAGGCATGGGAAAACACTGTAAAACGATGAAACAAAAAAAAAAACCCTGCAGGTTGGGTTGGACTGTAAGCAAACACGTAGTACGTGGCATTGTCCCAGGTTTATTTGAGCTGCACTAACTTGTTGTACCGCCACGCCCCTTTGCAAACTTTACCTTTCTACTTCTTACATTATTTTTTATTTACGGTTACTTACGGCTCCGGAATTAAACTAGAAATCCGGAATTAAACTGGAGGCTGTTATGTGTAATTTTCCACCAGAAACTCCCATGGGTCAACTGCCTATCCTAGAAGTGGACGGAACCATTATCTGTCAGGGGAAGGCCATCAGCAGACTGCTCGCCAAAGAAGTCGGTACGTTAAACAACATACGAAAAAAAAGTCTTTAATTAAACCAGGTTTGATCCTTTAATGGTTATGATATGAATTGAGAAACCCATACATTTTCTTTGGCATCCTTCTTCATCTTTTATATGACAGCTTTACATTGTGTTTAACAATGGTAACTGTGTCCATTCTATAATGTTTTGATGTTTTTGTGGTCTAAGATATTGTTTGAGAGTAGAAGAAAGTGTTCTCAAATTGTCCCTGCTGCTGTTTACACTAGTCATGAACTGTGATCACACAATGTACATGTATTCAAGGTCATTCAGGGTCACGTATCTCAATTGCATGTGGCTGTTCCTTTTTGTGATCAGTGGGGGTGGGCGTACTGGCCAGTTTAAATGTCGTAGCACTATTATATAGGGGTAAACTATCTCAACTCACTTAGGGTATAGGATTTTCTTCTTACACAACCAGTAGGGTTCTCACCTGCTCACGTTTCTATGTCTATCAGACACCTTCCTCAGAGCTTCTGACTGGAGTTCTGCAACTCGCCGCTCTTTATCA